TCAATATATCCTCATTTAAGGGTGGCAACTCATAAACCCTTTTCTACTTCATGCTAAAACATTTACTGCCCTGCTTTTGTACAAACAACCACAGCTATTGTGGGTTCATGGCTGTAGCAGTCTTACCTTGTTGGAAGGCATAGTTTCACCCTAGTTCTATCTGGAATTTGTTCTGTCCCTCTTTCTTCAATAGTCCCTGAAACTTGGTGAGAGTGTTTGTTACAAACATACTATTTGTAACTGAGCACTCCCCTGACATTCATTCTTTGTATTTTTATTAGTTATGGGGTTCCTCATTAACCACCATTCAGTGCACAAAGAAACTTCTCTGCACAAATCTATTAATAGAAAGATAAAGATTTAGAGAATATTTTGGTACTTTGTCCATTTGGAAGAATGATTGTAGGCCATGGTTCTTTGGAAAGATTTTAGTAAAGGCATGAATTTATTCCTATGAACAGGCTTCAAGTTTAACCAGAATGCAGTTGGTTGCCACCGTAGCATTCTTGCCTCTAGTACGTCAATGAGCCTGTCTTGCCATGCCAGTCACTACTTCATCACAAAGCTCACAGCTAGGTAATAAAGTTAATGACTCCTCTCATTCTTAGTAGTCTGCAGAGTTTCTTTCAGTACTATGAAAACTAGACAACAGGAAAGAAACATCCCAGTTGATAGAAGCTTGAGCTCTCTTATTGTGGGAGGAGGCTATTGATTTGAGTATGCGTAACCCTTCACTTTACAGAAAGTGTTTATGAACTGTAGATATTTCCTGGTTGAGTTTTGTGTGTGTGTTTGTGTGTGTGTGTGTGTGTGTGTGTGTGTGTGTGTGTGTGTGTGTGTGTGTTTCCTGTATATAAAATCAAGTGATCTGCAAATTGGGATAGTTTTTTTCATTTCTTGTTTAATTTGTTTAATTCCTCAAGCTAGGGTATCAAGCAATACATTAAGTAAGAGTGTGAAAGTATTTGTCCTTACCTTGTTCCTGATTTTAGTGGGAGTGCTTTGAGTTTCTATCTATTTCGTCTGATGGAGGTCATCTGTAGTTAACCTTTATCATGTCCAGGTATGTTCCATCCATACTTAGTCTCTCTAGGTTTTGGTCATGAAAGGATGTTTTCTACATCAAAGAAATGATTGCATGATTTATGTCCTTGAGTTCATCTGTGGTTGATTATATTTGTGGATTTTTGCATATTCAACAACCCCTGAATCTCTGGGATGAAACTAACTTGATCACTCCAAAGAATTTTTTGAATGTATGCAAGAATACATTTGCAGGTATTTTATGAAGAATTGTTAAGTCCATATTCATCAAGGATATTGGCTGATAAATCCCTTCCTTGGCACTCTTGTTGGATCTTTCTCTTTCTAAAAAGAGTTTGTAGCTGTTCCTTCCATTTATAATTTATTAAATAATTTTTGGAATACTGGTGTTAGTTTTTTCTTTGAACATCTGGTAGTAGTCTGCACTGAATTGAAGAACTGAGCATGCTTTTGTTTATTTGTTTGTTTCGTTTGGAGATTGTTAATTAATGCCTCTATCTTATTTGTTATAGATCTAAGTTATTTGCTTTACTCTGGCTTAATTTCAGTAGGTATTATACATCTAGAAATCCATTTGCTTCTTTTAGATTTTTCTAATTTAAGGGAATATACCTTTTCAAAATATGGTCTTTTGATTCTCTGACTACCTTCAGTGTCTATTGTAATGTTTCCCTTTCAATCTCTAGTTTTATTAATTTAGGACTTCACTTTCTTTTTGTTAAGTTGGCTAAGAGTTTATTTATTCTACTGATTATTTTTTATTTTGTACATTTATATTTCCTTAATTTCAATCTTAATCTTCACCATTTTTCTTAATGTATCACTTTTGAGATTGTTCTGTTATTGTTTCTCTAATTTTTTATGACTACCAAGTTGCTTGTTTGGAATCTCTCTGAATTTTCAATGTGAACACTTACATCTATACACTCCCTTCTTAAGATAACCTTCACTGTCTCTCACAAATTTAAATGTGTTGTATTTACATTATTACTTAATTCTAGGAACTCTGAAATTTTTCCTTATTGAATTCAAATTATCCATCATCACTGAGTATTATGTTGTTTAATTTCTATACTTTACATAATTTCTCTTGCCATTCATACCTAGTTTTGTCTTCCCACTGTGGTTAGAATGCAGGTGATAGTTTCAGTTTTCCTGTTTCTGAGATTTTCTTTTTATCCTAGTATAAGATCTGTTTTCAAGACAGTTCCATAGGGTGCTGAAGAGAATGTTCATTCTTTAGTATTTGGGTGCAATGTTCTATAGATGTCTGTTAGGTCAATTTGATCTATGATGTTATTTAATCCCAGTGTTTCTTCATTCTTCTTATGGACAGTTGATCTGTCAAGTGCTGAGAATGAGATATTGATGTTATTCACTATTATTTTGTTTGGGTTAATTTATGATTTTTAATCTTATGGTGTTTGTTTTTAGAAGTTGAATAAGCCTCTAAGTTGTACATATATATTGAGAATTATAATTTTTTCTGATGGGTCAATCACTTTCAATGAGTATAAAGTAATACTTTTTATCTCTCCTGATAAGCAATAGTTTCAAATCTATTTTGCCAGATGGTAGAACTGCAGGACTTGATTATTTCCTAGATTCCTTTGTTTGGAGTCCTTCCCCTTCTTTTTGCATAACATACATTTCTTGATGGCATCAGGAAGAAGGGTTTTGCCCTCTAATCCAAACTTTTTTGACTTTTGATGTAAATTGTGATAATCAATACTCAGAGTTATTTTTAAAAGTAAGTACTTCTGTCATTTTGTTGATTTTGTTCTGTAGTGGAGAAAAAGAAAAATGAGAGTCCAGTGGCCTGAATGTTTAATTCTTCTCTTTAACTGACCACTGCTGGTCCCTAGACTATGCTTATCTTGCTTTTAAAGGGCCCCATTATTGTCATGTAAGTTACCAGCTCCTCTTGTACATGTTTTCTTGACTTTGTTCTGTGGCTGTGAATAGCAGAAATGAAATCTGCCCAGTCTGAGATGCTGTGTCCTTACAGTGTTGGTGGCTGTATAGTACCCAACATTCTATTCAGAGTTTATGGCAACCTTTAAGAACACAGCTTTATATTTTCTTCTGTGGCACTAATAATGTCCATGGCATCCGTCACTGTGAACTTCTTCTATAAAGCCCTTACAAATCCACCTTGGTAGATTTTTCTGGTAGGAGTCTTTTATCTCCATTTGCCTGAGGGGAGATACTACTATGGTGATGAAAGATATTTTCTTTCAGTCTTCTGAATGTACAGAATGTAATTTAGCCCAATGGTAGAAGGGATTTTTTTCTGTTAAACCTGAGAACTGCAAGGAGAAAAGACCAAATCAGCAATTGTCCAATTAAAGCAAGTTTCATTTTTGGGGTGTATTAGGAGTAACTACCTGGCTGTCTCACCCTGTCTTGATTTGAGAAGGTAGCTACTGCTGACCTCCTGAAGTCCCTTTTATAGGAGAGATGAGGTATTTACAGAGACTAGAGAGCTGGCTGTTACACATTGTTAGAAAGACACAATGAGAGGGAAGGAACAAGGGTAAGGATAGTTTGAGTGTTGATCAAGTCAAATATAGGACTTGGAGAAGTAGTAGATGGAGCAATTGAATAGTCCCATTCCCTGTAGTTCCCAAACTGTAATCAGCCACTGAATTTATTTGGCTTCTATTCTACAATCTTGCCTGAAAATCACAAATAGATTTTTCTTTAAAAAAATAAAAACAAAGACAAATTTAAAAAAAAACTGAATTTAAGGAAACTAACCATATAAACTTACATAAGGAAATACTATTTCTAAATTAAAAATTGTTTTGAAATTTTAGAATATTATCATAAAAACTGAAAATATATTCAGTATGAAATGTGTCCTGTCTGGATTTAACAAGAACAGTCTTTTCTCTGTCTTTGTCTCTCTATTTCCTTCCACTGCCCACCCTCTTCCCTTCTTCCTTTCCCAGTTTCCTTCATTCTTCTCCTCTCCCTCTCCTACACACACACACACACACACACACACATACACACACACACACTCTCTCTCTCTCTCTCTCTCTCTCTATATATATATATATATATATATATATATATAATGTATATAACCAAGGAAACAGAGAAGCATTAGCATCTTGAAGTAAAACCTCTCACCCTCAGAGAGTCCTGTCCTGTGGTTGGATCCTGGCTCTGTTATTCACTGTCTATGTCACACTGTCCATTTATTCTCTTAACCCATCTCATCTGGAACTTGGGTGAAATAGTTCTGAACATAAGGCATTCCAGTGTGGCTAATATGTCACTTGCTTGTCATTATGTATTATCCATGCAGTAATGACTATCATAAATAACTGGGTTTTACATATTTACTAGACTTCAAAACATGCTGTTTATGTAAAACACAATTATGTTATAAAAGCATTCAAGCCTTGTCACACAGGGAGACAGATGAACAACTAAATTTGTCACTACTAATTTGCCTCTACATTGATGAGATTCTCAACTTTCCCTCAAGAAGCCTCCATATACAAAGAAAGTATCAGTAATAAAACCTTCATCTTCACTTTGCTAGTGATGTTGTCTATTGATAATTTGCTATATTTAACTTAAAGCAGTAAGTATTACATTTCAATATTAAGAACTCACAAATTTGGCAGGGTATTGGTGGCACACACCATTAATCACAGCACTTGCAAGGAAGAAGCAGGAGGATTTCTGTGAGTTTGAGGCCAACCTGGTCTACAGAGTGAGTTCCAGGACAACCTCCAAAACAATACAGAGAAACCCTGTCTCAAAAAAAAAAAGAAAAGAAAAAAAAGAAAGAAAGAAAGAAAGAAAGAAAGAAAGAAAGAAAGAAAGAGAAAAGTTGTTTGGTGTCTAGCTTTAGATGAATGTCCTTTTTGTTCCTTCAGTTGTATTTCTACTTACCAATATTCAGCACTCTTTCTTATGTCTCTCCTCTCCCCCAACAGATCTCTTCAGGATCTGTCCAAGCAAACAGATATCCCATATGGCACAGTCCTGGACTCAGCAGTGTATCAGCATGTTCGCATGAAGGGGTTGAACCCTTTCGAAAGGGATAGCATGTATTCTCAGATGTGGAGAATGATCAACCGAAGCAATGGGTCGGAGAACAATGTTCTGGAGTCCCAAGCAGGCATCCAAAAGGTACCATGTGCTTCATCAATAATATTCACCAGGTTGTCTTCAACATGGTCTTGGCTAAATAGAGACTTCTTTCTCTTTTATTGTAATTCTGACATTGAATTTTTGGTTAAATTTTATTTTTATTGTTTTAAAGAAGGTCTCAGGGCAGCTCAACATTCTCATAGAGAAAATTCCCAGTCCCCTGTGATGTCTCACCAGTAACTTTCCCTTGGAAATCTAAAACAAAAAATCGATGCTCTTATTTTGTTCACAAAAGGATTAAGGATTTACAAACATGATGACTAAATATGGTTTCCCAAATCCTATTCCAAATATCATTCATGTTATCCAATTGATTTAAATAACTTGGGGTTCTTTTTATACAGCATTTGTTTTTAAGACTAAAACTTTATCTTTACTTGTGATTATCTAAAGCTATTTGGAAGAAAAAATTAACCTTGTCAACAAATACACTTCCTGCAAATGACTGGTTCTGTTTTCCAAGGTGAAAATCTTTATCTCCTTATTTTTCTATAGTCATCATTTAGCAGTAGATATATTTAAAGGCTTAGAAAGTTTTTTTCACATTTGTAAAAAAAAATGCAAACTATTCCTCATTCTGTATATAGTTTATTTACAAACATACACAAGGTAATTCAGGTACCAACAGCCTCCATGAAAGAACTGGTTAGTTTTGTTTAAAACTATGACAAGCTGTGGTTGGTATTCATCAAGTGATCATGGAATGAACAAATGAACAAACAAATTAATGAGTGAATATCAATAATAACAATAGTAGCATTCACCTTTTCTCTATGACCTTCCATATCAGAATAGTTCTGACTCTGAATCTGAGCTTCCTGTAGAGAAAGCAAATGTTCTCCTGGAGGAGGGTTTGATTGTTCTGTTTCCTCTGCTTCATAATTTAGTGTGGCTCTTAGCCTCTGGAATCAACTTAAATCATCTTTTCCATTGCCACATTGGCATCATTATCTGGAGAAGTGACACTGATTATATAATCGTCTTTACAAATGTTAACAATGCTTATCAGAAAATGAACTTGCTTAGCATGTTAGCAGTAGCCTCTAGGGAAGAAAGTGCATGGCCTTGCTCTAGCCAGAGATCCTTTCATGCCTTTGCCCTCATTAGATAAATCCAGTTTCAAAAGGCTGAAGTGTTGGTTGGAAATATGACATTTCTGTCTTTCCATAAAGGATCACTGGTTCCGTGATAATAATGTACTAAACATCTGAAAATGTAAGGCAACTATGGTGGTTTGAAAGAAAATGGCCCCTAAAGGGAGTGGCATTATTGGGAGGTGTGGCCTTATTGGAGGAAATGTGTCACTGTGGGGTCAGTCTTTGAGGTCTCTTCAGCTGAAGGTTCCCTCAGTAAGACTGTCAGTTCCACTTGCTGTTGCCTTCAAGATGTAGTACTCCCAGCTACTACAGTACCATGTTTGCCTGCATGCTACCATGCTTCTTGTCGTGATGATATTGGACTGAACGTCTGACATTGTAAGCAAGTCACTTCAATTAAATAGCTTTTTTAATTAAAAAATAAGTGTGTTTTCAGTATAGATAAGGTCCTCGTTCATTCCTCATTGTTACCTCCCACTGCAGAAAGATAAGTATAAGTAGAAATTCTTAAATTGTAATTGCATTACATTTCAGTAAGGAAATCTTCCCAGAGATGGTTCATTTTCTTTCATCAAACACATATAATCTCAATAAAGTATTTTAAAACAAACGTGTATTCACTCATGCAACAGTGTATCCTTTCTCAAATATTTGCTAAATACTAGCTATGTAGCAGGTCCCTAGATATGAAGTAGAGATTTGTTCAGCATTAGAGTAAAGGTCACTGGGCTCATGAGCTGGAGTCTGGTGAGGAAGACAAGAGGGAGATTAAACATGATTTAAATGGTGATAGATGTCATGAGATTTTTAATAGGGTGTTACTGTGAAGGTTGAAGAGACAATCTACAGGTCAAATCTTTTTCTTAATATCTCACTTTATTCATTGACAAAAATAATCCCGGTAGAAGAAAGAAGCATTAGCTGAGAAAACCTCACATATTGGATTTAAGGTTAGCTTGATTTTTAAAATAAGTTCTATAAACAGACACATATAATTTTTAATCTTCCTGGACCTTCAAAGTTTTATCATGATGATAAGAATTCCTAGCTCACACAGGTTTTGTCAACATTAAATAAAGTCATTCACGTTGACTTTCTTCTGTAATCCCAGCACTTAGGAGGCTGAACCAAGAGGATTGTGAGTTCTAGATCAGCCTGAGGAACATAGCAAGATCCCAACTCAATACAAAAAATATACAACTAATAAAGATGAAACAATATGATATAGGTAAAGCTTCAATAAATAATATGAGCACAAGCAGAAACCTATCTTTTAAGATACTTTGGGAGGTTAACAAGAGAATGGACACATGAAGAATTTATAGCTACAAAACTGTATCATTTACTACTTCCTCCTTTAATTTATAATCATAGCATGATAAAAAGAAAGAAAAGAAAAGAAAGCACAGTATGAGAAAGAAAAAGCAATTTCTATTTCCTGAGAGTTGGCTGATCAGGAAAGTTAATCAATTAAAGAGAGTAAGTCCAGTCCTAAGATGTGTCTTCTGCCTTTGATGGAAGGGTAGTAAAGACTGGCCTGGTAAACAGAATAGGCAAGCCTGTGTGAAATGTGTTTGCAGATTTCTTTCACCAAATTGGCAACAGTTGAAAAGTGACTAGTCAAAGAATAGGCAGTAATAATAAAGTATATTTAGGTTCAGTTTGTAAGGTGTAAGACAAGTTTTATTCAAAAGCAAAGTCAACCACAGAACAATAACCTCTTCATCTGTTGAAGCTCACAGAGGATTCTGAAATCCAGACCTGTAAGACACAAGGCCTGACTGTGGGTTCTTTGTCCAGAAACTGGCCTTGCACAGCTCATATAGCTGATTCCTGTTCTCTGTCACTGGTTTCTAATTTGTGGAGACAGAAAAAATAGAAAAAGAAAGTTGTTCAACTGTAACTTTAACAGAAATCCATATCTGCTGCAACCACCTCACAGAGAAAACCACATCGCTGTGCTAAGCTGTCCTCACAATCTATAACTTCGAATAGATCTTGGGCTCTACTTACTCTTAACTGAGCTACTGGTTTCCTTTCCCTGAAGGTATAAACTGATCCCCTCAGGTATCTTTGTTTTGTTGTGCCAGAGACACCTGTGTAAGTGAACAATAAGTTGAGACTTCATATTCTTGCAAGACAGTCAAGTGTACTGTGCCATGCTAATTAAACTAGAACTAATGTGTTGCTGTGTTCTGCCTGGTGATTCTTACATAAGTATTTAAAGTGTATGATGTGGGAAAGGTAACATTTTTTTCAGGAAGTTTAAGAGTTTCTTCTGAGTATCTTCTGTGTATCAGGCAGTTGTTTCAGCGGTGAGGAGAAATGGGAACAGATGTTTCCCGAGAGTTAACCTTCCAGCAAGGGAGCAGACAATAAAGAAGGGGGAAAGAACTATTGAATGTTCAGTAGTGACAAAAGTTAAAGAATAAAAAGAAACTACAAAGGAAGGTTTGGAGTGTGAACAAGCAGGTTGTTCCAGCTCCTTCGATCTGGTAACCAAGGAAGGTTTCACTGTGAAGGAGACCATGAAATAAAAACTTGATGCAGTGGAGGGTGGGGTAGGACAGAGTGACAGAGAGAGATTGAGAAATAGTGGCATGTTCCTGGGCAAAATATTTTTACATATAGAGTCAGCCTGTGGAAAGGCTCCTAAAATATGAAAGGGAATAGAACCTGGTGAAATAAGCCTACAGGGTCTGTTTCAGAGATTCAACAAGAGCAAAGAGTTCTACAGTTAAGTGATAAAGTAGAGAAAATCACACAGGGTCTTGCTCCTTAAGATGGCCCTCTGAGGTGAAAGAAAGAGCCCCAACTGAGAGTTGATAAACACAGACTTAACCCCACCCAAGTCCTCTGAAAGTGGATCTTAGTCTCATAAGATATGAGAATGATTCTCACACATGAAAACATTCTGGTTTGGCCTTCATCTGTGAAGGATAGGAAGCTCAAGAAGGTTCTAAAGGGAAAAGAAATCTTACTGAAGCCACATTTTGATAAAGCACATCTTGGGGGGAAAATACCTAATGTGGTATGGGCAAGCTGGATATAAGTAAAGAGAACACACCTGGGACTTGACAGTACTACAGCACAGCAAGTTCATCCCTGTTGAACCCCAAAACAGACCACAACACTGAGCAAATCACTGGCATCTATCAGGCTGTTTAGTTGGGTGAGGAAGTGGGATGAGACAGGTCATTTCCAAGAGTCCACAGAGAAACTACCAGGTTGCAGGTGAAAAACTGACCAGGAAAGTAGGGTCCCTTATGCAACGGAGAGAAGTCTGTGATTGTTATGAGAGTATTCACTTGTAATGGCCTGGTAAATCCCATGCTGGTGAACACATCCTTCTAGAACTGCTACAATGCCAGGTCTGGTGAGAATGGGAGTCCTGTGAGCGCTGAGAGTCTGTGCTTATCAAGACTCCACAGGATCAGGATGGTATGCAAATCATTCTCCAGCTCATGAAGTCAGAATGGTGTGAAAGCTCTGGTGGAAACCATGAAAGGTGGTGGTGCTTGAAGCAGCAGTATGTGATCTAAATGACAGCATCCGGGGGTTTGGAAAGTCATTGGTACTGCCTTAGTTTGCTTTCAGTTGTTTTAACTAAACACTGATAAAAAGCAATTTGAGGGAGCTTTATGTAGTTCACAATTCCACATCACAGTTCATGTTAGAAGGACATTAGGGAAGGAACTCAAGCAGGAACCTGTTGGCAGGAACTGAAGCAGAAACCATGGAGGGGTACTGCTCACTGGTTTGGTAGGACTGGCTCGCTCTGCTTGTCATACCAAAGTGGAAATGAAAGCCAAGACAAGAGGAAGATCCATATAAACAACCCAGTGTCATATGTTGGGAAACACTGGGGCTGGCAAATAAATT